TCTTTGCTCAAGCTGGTTTTGAACTCCCGACCTCGAGCAATCCGCCCGCCTCAGCCTCCCAGAGAGCTAGGATTACAGGCGTGAGCCACCGCGCCCGGCCGATTTTTATTTTTTTATAGTATTCTTTTTCTTCTCTTTTTAAATTTTTTTCTTTATTTTTTTTCCTTGCAGAGGTTTGTAGCACTGAATACATTTTGAAAGTAGAAATAAATACCACCACTACCCCAACTGCACACGCACTTTAGGGGGTGTACAAGGAATGTAGTGTAATTAGAGATCGAAGACTCTGACAACAGAATCAGGTGGCTCTGAATCACCTAGAAAACAGAGTAAACCTGGTAGATAAAGTTCAAGATTATAGGTTTTGTAAACTGGCAACAATTTTAAAAAGGGCTTTAGACATTTTTAGCAGTTGATTTGAATAGCAAGGCTGATCCTTAAAATGTCTCAGATTCTTTCTCTGGTCTTTTCTGTTCTTGCCCTTTTACTGCAGAGTAAAGTGAAAGTTGGTATTTCTGTTACTCAGAAGTATAATAGTTTATACTTGCCACTGCTCTTGGTATTTTATTACTATGTTAGGTTTTGTTTTCATACTTGTGTCAGGAACATTACATGCAATTTAAAATCAGATGCAATGTGAAAGAATCTCATTAGAAAAAATTAATACATCTGGGAGGACGAGGCGAGTGGATTGCTTGAAGTCAGGAGTTCAAAACCAGCTTGAGCAAGAGCGAGACCCCATCTCTACTATAAATAGAAATAAATTAATTGGCCAACTAATATATATAGAAAAAATTAGCCGGGCATGGTGGTGCATGCCTGTAGTCCCAGCCACTCAGGAGCCTGAGGCAGTAGGATCGCTTGAGCCCAGGACTTGGAGGCTGCTGTGAGCTAGGCTGACACCATGGCACTCACTCTAGCCTGGGCAATAAAGCGAGACCCTGTTTCAGAAAAGAAAAGAAAAGAAAAGAGAAAAGAAAAAAAGAAAAAATTAGTACAGTGATAATTCTTATGTTCATTTTATGTGGTTTTCAAGATTAACAGCAATTTTTAAAAGGATCGTTAACTCTTTAATTCATTACAGTATAAAGCATTTTAACTTTTTAGTTTAGATTTTAGTTTTTCAAAATTTTATCTTGAAAAGAGAATTGATATATGGCAATATAAAAGTAATATTACAAAGAGCTTATCTCTGAGAGTCAGCTTCCAAAAGTAGATGTGTGTACGTTCATTCTTCCCCACGCAGCATTCCTTGGAACTGGAAGAACCTGTAGAAAAGAATCATGATCGTTATTTGCTGGCTGCCTTTTGTAGAGTGAGTCCCTGGCACAGGTCAGGTAAACAGCTCCTAGTTAGATCAGCCTGAACTTCCTAATGTGAAATCTGAGATCCATTTTACTTAGAAGGTTTAAATATGGGTCCCCCTTAAATCGGAACCTGAAGCTACTCATGTTTCAGGATTCTGAGCTGCTGCCAAATTCAATGCAGGAAACTAGGCATCTGCTCAGTGTTGAGCATATAAAGTCCTCGAGTAAGGGCACCTGTGTGTAAATGTCTCTCGGTGTTTAGTATTGCTGCTGTTTGTGGTTACACTGTACTGGCAAGTGGTTGTAGTGTACCGTGGTCACTGAACAATGACACCTGTTTTTATTAGGGTGCCTGAGGTGGCTCAGGAGCTTCCAGTGACTTCACCTCTGGATGACTTCAGGCAGCCTCGTTACAGCAGCAGTGGTAACTTTGAGACACCTTCGAAAAGGGCTCCCACGAAGGGAAGAGCAGGAAAATCAAGGAGAATGGAGCAGGACCACTATGAAACAGACTACACAACGGGCGGCGAGTCTTGTGATGAGCTGGAGGACGACTGGATCAGGTACCCGGCCGGCTCTCCTCTTCCTGGAGTCACTTGCACCTTCTGATTATTAAGGGTGGGGGGTGGGCAACCGGGTTTTGCAGTTGTTGCCTCCTAAACTGGGGTCAGTGGTATAATTTCATCCTTTGCCAGGACTGGAGACAGCTTTTTGTGCTGTGTTGGTTTTCTCCTTAGTACCCTTCCATAATAAAGATTGAAGTGGTGGGAATATGTTTGGCAGTGACCAGCTCTTTCAACTTTCCACAACATGGCTAATGAACTTCACCATGTTCTTACATTCACCCAAAAAAGATTTTTCAAATTAATAAAAGCATAGAGGAACTTTGTTTTACTGATTGTAAAATTCCTAGACCAGTGCTATGGTTTTCCTTTGGCAATAACTTTTAAGCTTTCATAAGACCAGGGTTTCTTTTAAAGTTTAATCCAAAGAACTTTGGCAAACAGTTTTGTAAACAGTTGAAGTAACAATTTCGTGTTCAGGATGAGGCTGTGTTGGTAGTTTTGTTCTTGTCCACTGTCCCCAAATTTACTTGCATGTGACATGTAGCTGTTTTAAGCCCAAGTATTCTGAGAACTAGGACACACATCGGAAACATTTGTGGTGTGAATGGTGTTTAATCCAAACATTGCTTCTCAGGGTGTTAGGAGGGATGGGTGTGGCATGGATAGTTTGAAGTCCCCTATTCACTGATGAATCTGATACTTCATCTTTCTCTCTGCCCCCATGGGTTCTTGGCCTGGTTCAGCTGCATATCTATAAAACAGATGCCTAACTTGTATCATGGAAGATTTAACTGAAAACTTTCAGAAATCCTGAATTCTTACAGCCCTTTTGATCAAATCACTTTAATTTTTCTCCTCTGTAAATTGAAGGTAGATATAAAAGTTGACATTTCATATTGCTATAAAGCTCCTTAGTTTTGTGAAAGAGTTCAGAGTATTTTCTCAGTGGATTTACAGGTTAATAGCATCATCTTCCTGTGAAAGGAATAGGAATTGAGAGATATAAGTGATATAGAATTTCAGTTTTTCTTCTTCATACTTTGATGAATTGCCAGATTATTTTTACAGTGAGCTCATGTTTTTATACGTGTACATTTTTAATGTCTGCTTTCATAATGAAAGAACAAAATAAGCTATTTCCACTCAGGAAAAACAAGACCAAAAAATAAATAAATAAGCCAATTTGAAAAGTATGGGTAGCAGGAAACAGCCACTTCCAGTCAGCTGCTCTACCACTGCGGTGATCAAAACAGGCTTTGTGTTCCAGAATTCCAGTTTTAAGACTTTAAACATGAGTTTAAACATGAGTTGTCCATTATCATGTGGTATGGGGTATTGAGAATAAATGAGTGCCTATGACTCGAACCTTAAGTTTCAGGAGTGATTTTCAACTTCATTTCTAAAAATTATATAGGCATAGTATTTTTTTAAATGTGCAGTAGTATACACAATATACTTGTTTTTAGTAGAACTTATTTGTATCCCATCTCCCTTTGCCCATGAGATACAAAAAGAAATCAAGTGAATGTCATTCTCCACACCCCACCAGTTTTATTGTCTCTGAGGAAGAAATGCTGGATTTTATGTCAGTGTTTATGTAGTCATTTTCCCTCTCAATTTTTAGGGAATATCCACCTATCACTTCGGATCAAGAAAGACAATTCTACAAGAGAGATTTTGACACTGGCCTGCAGGAATACAAGAGCTTACAAGCAGAACTTGATGAGGTCAATAAAGAACTCTCTCGACTGGATAAAGAACTAGATGACTATAGAGAAGAAAGTGAAGAGTATATGGTAAATTCAAACCTGCTATTTGTTTATTATATAGAATTTGATGCTAATCTATGGAGATACAGCATCCTTTTTCCTGTACTATTATACTATTAATTAAAATTTAGTAATTATCAAACTAATTTCATTGAAGAATAGTTGAAATTTGTTTTTTTTTTTTTTTTTCCCGGTCTAGAGTGCCATGGTGTCAGCCTAGCTCACAGCAACCTCAGATTCCTGTGCTCAAGCAGTCCTTTTGCCTCAGCCTCCTGAGTAGCTGGAACTACAGGAATGCTCCACCATGCCCGGCTAATTTTTTTTTTCTATATTTTTAGTTGTCCAACTAATTTCTTTCTATTTTTTAGTAGAGATGAGGTCTCACTCTCCCTCATACTGGTCTCGAACCCCTGAGCTCAAACGATCCACCTGCCTTGGCCTCCCAGAGTGCTAGGATTACAGGCATGAGCCATTGCGCCCAGGCCCTGTTTTTTGTTTTTTTGAGACAAACTCTCACTATGTTACTTAGGCTGGAGTTTAGTGACGTGATCATAGCTCACTGCAACCTCCAACTCCTGGGCTCAAGCAATCCTCCTGCCTCAGCCTCTGGAGTAGCTGAGACTATAGGCATATGTCAGCATGCCTGGCTAATTTTTCCTTTTTTAGTTGCCCAGATAATTTCTTTCTATTTTTAGTAGGGATAGGGTCTCGCTTTTGGTCAAGCAGGTCTCAAACTCCTAACCTCAGTCAATCCTCCTGCCTCAATCCTCCCAGTGTTAGGATTACAGGAGTAAGCCACCGTGCCCAGCCTTATGATTACCGTTTCTTTCCCTTGATCACCTGGCTGAAATAGAGTTTGTCCATGTAAAATTACTCTTTTTTTCTAATGTCTTTCTTTCCATACTATATTTTGTATAGTAAATATATTTTGTAGTAAAATTTTTATAGTTACACCACCATTTATAGGGAGATTAGTCCCCTCTTCCCATTTACTTGTTTCTTCATTTATTTTATCAGTCATTGTGTAGGCACAAATTCATAGATATATCTATTTTATAATGTGAGTTATAGTCCAATACTATTTTAATTAGTGGCTTTAATTGTTCTAGCTTTTTTTCTTTTTGAGACAGAGTCTCACTATGTTGCCTGGGCTAGAGTACCGTAGCGTCAGCCTAGCTCACAGCAATCTAAAACTCCTGGGCTCAAGCGATCCTCCTGCCTCAGCCTCCTGAGTAGCTGGGACTACAGGCATGCACCATCATGCCTGGCTAATTTTTTTTTATGTATTTTTAGTTGTCCAATTAATTTCTTTCTATTTTTAGTAGAGATGAGGTCTTGGTCTTGCTCATGCTGGTTTCGAACTCCTGACGTTGAGCCACCGCGACCAGACTAACTGTTGTAGCTTTGATGATTGGGAACTCTTTCAGTTGCTTCCTATGTCCCTTTGACATACCCTCCCTCTGCATGGTGGGAGTTTTTCTTTTTTAAATACTTTATGGCACTGCTTATTTCTATTCTTTCTTTCTATCTATCTATCTATCTATCTATCTATCTATCTATCTATCTATCTATCTATCTATCTATCCATCCATCCATCCATCCATCCATCCATCCATCCATCCATCCATCCATCCATCCATCCATCGACAAGAGTCTCACTCTATTGCCCAGGCTAGAGTGCCATGGCATCATGCCTAGCTCACAGCAACCTCAGACTCCTGGGCTCAAGTGATCCTCCTGCCTTAGACTCCCAAGTAGCTGGGACTACAGACATGCTCCACTATGCCCGGCTAATTTTTTTTTCTATGTATTTTAGTTGGCCAATTAATTTCTTTCTATTTTTTAGTAGAAACAGGGTCTTGCTCTTGCTCAGGCTGGTTTTGAACTCCTGACCTTGAGCAATCCGCCCGCCTTGGCCTCCCCGTGTGCTAGGATTATAGGCGTGAGCCACCACGTTGGGCCTATTTCTGACTCTTTTTACTCAACGATAATTTATGGTTATTGCTTCATATCAGTAATAAGGATCGACTTAAAAATTTAGTATGTAAAACTAGCTACACAATTTTCAGTTTTATGGTTATAGCATAATTTACTTAAGAGTCATCCTCTGTGGATAGACATTTAAGTATGTCTCCCCCCAAATCCAGTAGTACCTGTAACACACTAGTGAGCCTTTCCATTTTTTGGCACTCTTGTCTGCTTTCTAGCTAGAACAAATTCCAGAATGTGAAATTGCTGTGTCATAGGGATGTACATTTAAACTTTTGTTGCAGAAGTGCCCTCCAGAAAGATTATACTAACTGCATTTCTCCTGGTAAAGCACTAGCATTCTCCTTTGACCCACATCCACTCATACCTGAGAAATTACTGCCTCATTTCTTAGATATTGGTAATTCAACTTTTTCTTGACTTCATATGTTTATTGGAACTTCGTATTAATTTTATTAAATATGCTGCCATTTTTCAATTGAGGTGATCTGCTTTTTCAGTTTTACAAAAGATCTTTAAATATATTTAATTGGTGATTTGTGATTATACTTTAGTTGATTAAATTGATAGATGTTCTTAAATATGAAAACTTATTTACTGATTGAGAGGGGCATCAAGCAGTTGTGCTTCTGCAAGCTGCCACTTTTAGCCAGCTGGCAGGGTTGTGGATGGGGTAACATCAGGGGTGGGTGTTAGAGGAGGAGCTGGCTGGGCTGAGCCTTGGAGGGTCAGGGTGGTGAAGATGCTCCCCCCAAGTGCAGCAGAGAACATGGCAGAAGTCTCCTGAGGCCTGTGCTAGATCCCTGGCCTAGGGTGGGGGTCTTAGCCCATGGCGCCTCATGTCTGAGTGGTCAGCCCCCAAGTTGGATTTCAGGGAACTGATGGGCCGGCACGAGGACCTCTGGGAATTCCATGGGAGTCACTTAGAGCCAGTGCTCCCATCTCTACTTCTTCCCTGGCAGCACCAGGCCAAACTGCAGGGTTGTCCCCCAGGCTTCCTTTTTCTCACCTGCTACACTCAGTTACTGAGTAGGCCCTGGTGGTCCCAAGGCCAACTTCGCCCTGAATGCAGTCCCTTGTCACCACCCTCCTGGCACCCAGTGTCCTCATCCCAGATCCTGCTCACACATTCCTGCTGCCCTCCTGAGTGGTCAGGAGGATCCCTGCTAAGACCAAGGTCCAGTCCTCTGTCAATGTTTGTGGGTGTGTCTGGGACCATGACAAACATAGGGAAGTATGTGAGGACTAAAAGGCAGTGTTTTACCCAGAGGGGAATCCAAGTGACTGAGCCTCCTGACTACAACTCAGATCTATAGTGTTTGCAGGCTTCTCTGTTGTAAATACTTGCCCCAGGGCTGACTTCAGTGAAGCTTAAATCCAGCAATGTGTGGGGTGCCAGAGCTCCAGAGGGAGGGAGTGACCAGTGCAAAGGCCCTAAGGCTGGACCCTGGCTGATCCTGGACCTGACCTCCTGCAGGCTAGCTCCAAGCTCCTAGAAGTCTCTGAGGAGAAAGACCTAGAACCACTCAACCAGCATGGCTGATGCCCTCCTAGCTGCTTTTCAGTTTTTAAGTCTTGGCATCTTTATATAGTCTGGTTTATTGTTTTCTTTTATGGTTTCTTTCTGGAGTTATCGTAAACCTTTCTTAATTTAGTAAACATTTATTGATCACTTATATTTCCTTGTTGATATGGAAGTATTTGGGTTAGAAAGAAAAATCCTTTCCCCATCCCCAAAGAGCTCATATTCCAAGACAGAAATTGACATCTAAACAATCTAGACAATTTTTGTCATTAATAGCAGAAATAAAAAAGAAAAAAACAACTTAGAAAATGTGATTCATGTTGTATTCACATTATATGTAGAAAACACTATAACCGTTAGGGTGGGACTTTGTACAGGGTGGAGAAAGAATTCTCAACACAAAGATTAAGATAGAAAAGAAGTACAAATTTTATTTTACTTCCTTTGAGAGACAGGGAGGAGGGGGAGAAAGAACATGAAGAAGAGAGAAAGAAAGAAGGGAAAGAGAAAGAGAAACAGACAGATAGAGGAGGGGGAGGGCATGGCACATGAGAAAAAGAAAAGGGGAAGTGCCCCCACCTTCCACCTCCCTGAACAAGCATGCCAGGATTTTTATGGGGACAAAGAAAGGAAACCTATCTTTTGAGGCCGGAGCTAGAGAATGAACTCTCACCCCCCCCCACCCCCAGCTTAGGGCTCACCCAGGTTTTGAAAAAGGAACTCTTTGAGATAATGAGTTAATATTCAAGACAATGGGTTGAGCCCCCAGGTGGTTAATCAAACAAAAGGAAGGGGGCTCTTGTGCTGTGAGTTTTCTCTTCAAAGGGGCAATTATGAGCTATGAGGTTTTTCTTTCTGTTAGTTTATTGGCAAGGCCATCTTTCACTACTGCTCAGAGAAGGAGTAATCTGCCTTAGGCCTGGAGAGTTTAAGAGGAGCTTCACTGAGGCCTAACCTGCCAGAAGGTTAGGGGCGGGAGATACATGACTAAGCTATAAGGAAAACATGATAGAAATCTTGAAGCAGTCACATGCCCAATTTTTTTTTAAGGCATTGCTCATGGGAAGCATTGAGAGGCAGGAAACTAAATGAGTAGAGAAGTTAAAGTGGAGTTCAGACTAGTCTTGTAGTGGGATATAACCTGATCAGAGCTGTGCTTTACAGAAGGTATTTCTGGGGTCAGTTGTGGCCCAGGGACTGGCATGGGGCAGAGATGGGAAGCAGTAGAACAGTCCCTGCCTCTGTGGACATCTCCACAGTGAGAGAGACAGTATCATAAATGTCTCTTCACTGGATTCCTTCAAGCCTCTTGTTGACCAGAAAAAGTTTTAAGAGTTTTAAGGCTTCATTATTTAATTGCCTATGTTTTGTTCCAAGCTGTTACTTCTAGCTTCAAAGTATAACATCAGGAATGTTACTCTTAGAAGAGAGAATGCCCCAGTAAACATATTCCCTTGTGTTTCTCATTCATAGGAGGCTGCTGATGAATACAACAGACTGAAGCAAGTTAAGGGAGTAAGTATCTGGGATTGTAAGATTCTTGTAGCAAGAACTTTTCTATTATGCGTTTTTCATTTAACCTTTAGAATGACTATGAATACCCTGTCACACGTGTACTGATAATAGACTTTTAATTTTGAGATGAAAACAAAAGTAAGAACCTTAATTTCAATTGTTTGTAGCTATAATAGATACTGATGTTTTAAAGCTTTGTCTTTTTCTTTTTTTTTTTTTTTTGGTAATCCAAAATGTGTTGATTGGGTTGGTTTCCCATTCATATTCATCCTGGTCAGGTGCTTTTAGTGCTGCTTCCTCCTAGAGGAGCAGCCTTTCCTGAGTGGTGCTTTTCCTTCTTGGGGCTCCCTGAGGGCTTGTGCCTGGGGGTGTATCTGCCTGGGGGTTTCACATCCTTGAAGCAGGAATTGGGGCTCTGCACCAGGAGTACCTTCTTGCGTTTCCTCTTCTCTTCTGGAGAGGGATGAAGGAGACCCTTTGTGAGAGGCATGGTCTTGTGGAGAGGTTATCACGGCTAGACTGATGTTTTTTTTTTTCCGAGACTGAGTCTTGCTGTGTTGCCCAGGCTAGAGTGAGTGCTGTGGCATCAGCCTAGCTCACAGCAACCTCAAACTCCTGGGCTCAAGCAATCCTACTGCCTCAGCTTCCCGAGTAGCTGGGACTACAGGCATGCACCACCATGCCCGGCTAATTTTTTCTCTCTCTATATATATATTAGTTGGCCAGTTAATTTCATTCTATTTATAGTAGAGATGGGATCTCGCTCTTGCTCAGGCTGGTTTCGAACTCCTGACTTCAAGCAATCTGCCCGCCTCGGCCTCCCAGAGTGCTAGGATTACAAGCGTGAGCCACCGCGCCCGGCCTAGACTGATTTTTTAATATGTTTTTTTAAAAGTTAAAGTATATTTACAAAAAAGTGCAGAAATCAAAGTGTATAACTTGGTAAATTCTCATGAAGTAACTACACACCTGTGTACCCAACACCCGGCACACCTCCTGCTTCCAATTTTTACACTCTCCCCAGAGGGTAACCACCATCCTGACATCATAGATCAGTTTTGCCTATCTTGAACTTTATATAAATAGAAACAGACAGTATGTGTTTCGTGTGTGATTTCTTTTGTTCAGTACTGTGTTTGTAAGATCCACTCATGTTTTGGCATGTAGTTGTGGTTCATTAATTTTTATTGCTGTGTAGTATTGTTTTATGAATAAAACACAGCTTATTTATCCACTTTGTTGTTAGTGAACATTTGGGTTGTTCCTAAGTTTGGGCTTTTACAAATAATTCAGCTTCAAACTTTTTTGCAAATGTGCGCACATTTGTTAGGTATACACTTAGGAGTGACATCACAGGGCCATTGTGCATGTGTGCATCCAGCCTTGGTAGACACTGTCAAACAGCTTCCCAAAGTTGTACCAGTTTGCATGCCCACCAAGCACTATAGACCTGCTGCCCCATATCCTTGACAATGCCAAGTATTAAGTCATTATTGACTTAAAACATTTTTTTAAAAAATATTTTATATTAAGAATTTTATAAGTTATGGCTGGGTGCGGTGGCTCACGCCTGTAATCCTAGCACTCTGTGAGGCTGAGGCGGGCAGATTGTTCGAGGTCAGGAGTTCGAAACCAGCCTGAGCAAGAGCGAGACCCTGTCTCTACTATTACTATAAATAGAAAGAAATTAACTGGCCAACTAACATAAATAGAAAAAGTTAGCTGGGCACCGTGGCGCATGCCTGTAATCCCAGCTACTCGGGAGGCTGAGGCCGAAGGATTGCCTGAGCCCAGGAGATTGAGGTTGCTGTAAGCTAGGCTGACGCCATGGCACTCACTCTAGCCTGGGCAACAAAGCGAGACTCTGTCTCAAAAAAAAAAAAAAATTTTATAAGTTATGATTGAGGTCATGATTTTATTTTATTTTTTTTTAGAGACAGGGTCTTACCCACACAGGTTGGAGCACAATGGCACGATCACAGTTCTTTGCAGCCTTGAACTCCTGGGCTCAAGCAATCCTCTGGCCTCAACCTCTGGAGTAGCTAGGACTATGGGCACATACCACCCTGCGTGGCTAAATTTTCTTATTTTTGCTAGGTTGCCCAGGCTGGTCTCAGACTCTTGGCCTCAAGTGATTCTCCCACTTTGCCCTCCCAAACTGCTAGAATTATAGGCATGAGCCACTACTCCCTGCCCATGATTTAAAATAAGAGTTTAAAAGTATATATAGTAAAATTTCCCTTCTCTCATCTCCCACTCACAGTTTCTTTTTCCCCGGTCAACTGATATCACCAGTTTTTTGTTTTACTGATTTTTTTTCAGATGATATGTTAGGAAAAAGGCCTATAAGTTGTCTTGGTCATTTTATAAATTTCTAGAAATGAGGGTATCCTTTGTAAAATCCCAAGTTAGAAGATATGATTAAGGGAATCAGATGCCAAGGTGGTTATGAATACTGTCAGGTGCCTTAAGTATATTACTGCATTTAACTCTCCCAACAGTTCTCTGTTACTAATGTTCCCCCTTTTTGTTTGCTTCTGCCTCCCCAACATACCTGTTTTTATTTTGTTGAATTTATATGATTCACTTTTCCCTTTTTAGTCTGCAGATTACAAAAATAAGAGGAATTATTGCAAGCAGTTGAAGAGCAAATTGTCACACATCAAGAAGATGGTCGGGGACTATGATAGACGGAAAACATAGAAGGTAGATGCCACATTGTTTGAGAAATGAAGACGTATCTGTCTGATGTCTCTGAAGTGTTCTCAGAAGGCAAATGACTTGGATCATTAACCCAGGAAGCCAAACTTTTGTGATCCATTACGAAGTTTTGGTAGCTTTAATATCAGTGTTGAAGCATTTTTTAAATAGTTTTTGATAATGAACTTGGCTGAACACTCCAATTAAGGATATTATGCTTTAAACATTGGTTGTTGTGTTAAGAATGAAATACTGTTTGAGGTTTTTAAACCTTAACACAAGGTCCTGGTGTGAACTGTGTGGTGAACTTCCACACAGCAGACAGTGATGTATTAATATTTGTGTACATGCATTCATTCACACAGGTGATCTCATTTATCCTCCCAATAACCTTTCAGGTAACTATTATTTATAATCACTTCTTTTCAGATAAGGAAAGTAGGTCTCCACAATGAAGTCTCTGAAGTGAACCTTGCTTGTTTCCTAGCACACAGTTTTGGTTAAGTCTGTTTTATGACTCTATTAATAATAAAGTCCCTGGCCTTTCATATTTTAGCTACTATGTGTACTGTGTTCTACCAGCCTCCATGTTGATTTTTTCTGTTGTATAAATGGTTGAAAGAGGTTTTTTCTTGTTTTATGTTATCCTAATAATACAGATCATGTACAAGTGACAAATGTATGAAATTTAAAGATTGTAAATATATATTTACTTTTTTAATATCAAAGTTTAAACCTACTGGTGAGAATTTTATGTATTTTTAAATACTTTTTATCTTTTATGGTTTACATACATTTTTAAAACCACTTAGATCTTTTCATTGTATCAGAGTATCTGATTACATTTATAATTCAATTGTGACTTGAATTGTATCTTACAGAAATGTTCAAGTTCTGTACATATTTTATGAGGTATTAAACCTGGTGTTTTCTTTCTATAATATGCCTATTTGACATCATTAGTGCAGTTAATATTAAGCTGTGGAAAACTACACTCAGGAGTTATCTGTTGTTATTTTGGGTGCTGTGCTGGTTGGTAGTTTCCCAATCCTTTTCCCTTTAAGAACAGAATGCTGATGTATCTGGAAATAGAATGTTATACCATAAAATACCAAATTATTTCAAATGGTGTCCTTAAATCTCACTTTTTTAGAAATTCAGATTTTTATTAAAGGAAAGTTGATAACACTGCATTAACCAAATTTGTGATTATCATCCCAGTTTAGGCTGTTTTTCTGAAAATATTTTTTAGAATAATCTATAAAACTGGTCTTTAATATGCAATTCAGACATTTAAGTATATAATTTTCTATATACAATTCTGAATTATTTTCCAAAGACAAACTGTTAAATAATGTTTCCATTATAATACTAATTCATTTCTTCAAATTGAAGAAATTCTTAACTTTCTACATGATGCACATAATACAAAAGGTATTTTCATGGCTTTTGAATTCACAGTAAATGAAAAGGACTCTATTGAGCACCTTAACTGATTTTGTGTGTTAAATTTTTAGCAACTTGTTCTTAGAAGTCAATGTATTTGGTTGATGAAGGCAAATTTGCCAGTGTTCTCACTAAACAAAACTATTCAGCTGAATGCAGAAAATGAAATAGCAAGAGTTTGCATTGTAAAATTGTGCCATAAAATTGGACTTTAAAAAAACAAAATGAGAAAATTTTTCAGATGTGGTGTTTTACACTAAAGATTACTTCAGGAAGCTAGGGTTTCTGTTGGTGTTGCCATTAACTAGCTGGATGTAACTTTGAGAAACCACTCAGGTGGTTTTCCTAGTCTGGAAAATAAAAGTTTTCAATTAGATTTCAGGCAGCTCTTCCATTTTTAGCCTTCTGCTGTTGTTGTGCCTGCAATTTTGCTTTCTGGTATAAACCATTTTTCCAAGTAGTTTACTGTCAAAGTATATGGTCCATCTCATAGGTTCCCAGCATAAAGTGATGCCCTAAATGTATGATTTTGTATTAAAAGTTGATAGGATCAATATTTTAATTTTAATTTTGAAAGATTTAAAGAAAAAATTTTAATTTTGAAAGATTTACAGAAAAAATATAAAATACACATACCCAACATCCAGAAATAACAGGTGTGGTGTTTTGTCATATGTGCTTTGTATTTTTTGAAATATAATGAAGTCTACTAGTATTTATACTAAATGATAATATTGGATACACATACATAAATGAAATTTCATTTAATTCTCACAACAATCTTTTGACATGTAACCATTTCTCTCATTTTATAGATAAGGAAACTAATGATTTGCTAGATTAACTGGCCCCTTGTCATACACTAGCAAGTGGTAAAACTAAGGATTGGAATCTTGTCTTGTTGGACTATTAGAATGTATACTTCAATCCTAGGTTGACTTTGTTAATGGATTGGATAATGTGAGATTGCTGTTAATAAAGTGTCCTATTTTAATTTTGCATGCATTTTAAGTACTTTTAATTAACATAAATGCTTCACATGAAATATCTAAAGATCTAATTAGGTATGTATGTATAAAGAAGGGTCAGGGCAGAAGGGTGCTTTAATCATGGCTCCAGGGACCTTAGCTTCAGTGAGGATTGTGGGAGTTCCTTACACAAAGACTTTCTCTCTTCTTTGTGGACACGTTTCTCACCTGGGCTTTTTAAAAGGCTCAGCTGGGGAAATCAGAACTCATAATTTCCTGGCAGCTCATGATTCTGCTGTACTACACCATGCCCTCCCTGTGTGAAAGGACAAATAAATTAGATGGAGGACATTATCCCTCACGTGTTCCATATTTTAATATTTCTTCTAATGGGAAGAAATATTAGGTTTTAGAAAACATTGTTAATAAAATAACACTTTGGAGTTAAAAAAAGAACATGGATACATAACTAGGATTTGTGTGTGTGTGTGTGTGACTGAAACAAAATATGGAAGGGTGTCCCCCCAAAATTTCCAGTTGCTGCCAAAGGACCTGCTTGCTATTGTCTGAATGTGTTTTCCTATTCCTGCTGTGGGACCTTGGACAGTTTTTTGTATCTGTAAAAGATATTTGTAATCTCACAGTTAAGAGGATAGTTAATGTGTGACTCAGTTCTTGTCCCAAAGTAAATACGTCCACATATCCCTATCTCCCAAAGCCAGAAAGTGAAACTTTAACACATTTTTAAAAAACAAATTGCTTTTTTAAAAGTGTACATGTCATTCAATTCCATATGCTTGGTCTGTGCTGGGTGCAGCTATAGGGTATAAATTCTTTTGAATTTTAGGCAGATAATGCATTAGGCTTGGCAGTCCAACTATCTGTAGAGAGTGAACAAATGCTTTTTAGGATAGAACAAATAGTGATTACATATCAAGATCATGATTATTACATACTGTTGTAGTCAATTCTGGAGGTTTTATTTTATTTTATTTTTGAGACAGAGTTTCACTTTGTTGCCCAGGCTAGAGTGAGTGCCGTGGCATCAGCCTAGCTCACAGCAACCTCAAACTCCTGGGCTCAAGCAATCCTTCTGCCTCAGCCTCCCGAGTAGCTGGGACTACAGGCATGCGCCACCTAATTTATTCTATATATGTTAGTTAGTTTGCCAATTAATTTCTTTCTATTTATAGTAGAGAGGGGTCTCGCTCTTGCTCAGGCTAGTTTCGAACTCCTGACCTTGAGCTATCCACCCGCCTTTGCCTCCCAGAGTGCTAGGATTACAGGCGTGAGCCACTGCATGCCTGGCCAATTCTGGAGGTTTTAAATGAGTCTCTGAAATGATTTGGTTTCTATGTAAAGGTATTGGAATCAGCCCTGTGGAGTGTCTTGCACCTGCAACCCCAGCAGTATGGGAGGCCAAGGCAGGAGGATCCCTTGAGGCCAGGAGTTTGAGACCAGCCTGTGCAACACAGCCAGACCCCATCTCTACCTAAAAAATAGAAAAATTAGCCAAGTGTGGTGGTGTGTGCCTGTACTCTCAGCTACTCAGGATTGTGCCACTGCACTTGAGCCTAGGGAACAGAGTGAGACCCCATGTATAAATGTATAAATGAATGAATGTATTGGAATAGACAGCTTCATCCCTCCCAGTCTTTCAGTTTGCATGCTTTTTGTATTTCAGTTTGATTCTGCTGGCTGAGCTGTTCATGAGTTTTCTAACTTAATGGATTATGTCTAGCCACCCATGAGCAAAGAATAGATTGTTCCATTTTTTATAATTACCACTTTGTTTTTAAAAGTTGCAAAAACATTTGACAAGGTAGATAATTTATCCTACCACTTTGTACATGATTAGAATATTAGTCATAATTATGCCAAGAAATTACCATGGATTTATGCATATTTTGTTTTGCTTTGGTACCATCCTAGTTGAGTCTGAAGATCTATGTCTAAAATCTATACAGAGCAGATCTGGCTCTGTTCTAGAGTGCAGTGGCATCATCATAGCTCACTACAACCTCAAACTCCTGGGCTCAATTGATCCTCCTGCCTCCGCCTTCCAAGTATATGGGACTACAGGCTGCACCATCACAACCAATACAGAGCAAATATTACAGTTGGAAAAAGTCTAAATGTTTCAGCCTCCTCTCTTTACAGATACACTTTTTCTTAATTTTTATTTTAAGCTATTATGAGGGTACAAACATTTATGTCTTTGCCTCACCCAAGCAAGGATCAGAGGCATGTCCTTCCTCTCTACAATGCTTACCGCAACCATTAGTTGTGAGTTTACCTCCACCCCCACCCCCTAATCCCTGGAGAATATTACTGCCATGTGAGCACCATAGTGTTGATCAGTTAGTGCTAATTTGATGGCAAATACATGTGGAGCCTATTCTTCCAATCTTGTGATACCTCACTTTGGATAATGGGCTGAAGCTCTATCCAGGAAAATATAAGAGGGGCTAGGTCAATGTTTCTTATAATTGAGTAATATTCCATTGTATACATATATCAAATTTTAATCACTCATGAATCGATGGGCACTCGGGTTGTTTCCACATCCTTGCAATTCTTCACAGATACACTTTAAATTTATTGAGGAATCCTTTATCCTCTTCCTGGTTTTCCTTTAAAAAAAAATCTTCCCAGACAGATGGATAAAATACATAAGAGAGAAACTTGGGGCTGGGATTGTGGCTGTTTGACCTATAGGAATGTATCACATCTTGGAATAGGATGGCCAATTAGAATGGAAGGAAAGGAAAAAGTGTGAAGTTTGTGTGTGAGTCCCGTGAGAAGGGGCAAGGATGGAAGCCTCCTGGCACTGGGAAACAATCAGCAAAGCTAATTTCCCTACCTCTTTCTTTTAAAATTTTGTTCATGCAAAGACAACACAAAAACTAAATAATAAGATCTTGTTATCTGGGAGGAAATGATGCTGATTGTGGAGTTGCCACTAAGCCCTGTAGGGTAGATGGAGATATCACCATTTTACAGATCAGTTCACAGACTTGGGTTGTGACTTGGATTGAGGTCACTCAGCTAGTGTATCACAACCTAATTTTAAATCTGGGTCTGTTTTTCCCACTGCTATGCAGAATACCTTCTGTTTATATTTTTGGTGAAGTCAGAACAGAGATGGAAAGAATTTGGTACTGACAATATAAGCAACGGATGGGCTGAATATGCTGATGGGGAAGGGAAGAGACCCTAGCTTATGTAGTTCCTTTCTGCTCTTCCCCTCTTGGTCCTAACCCTTTTCTGATCCTCTAGGAGTGCCTTGCCTCTCCACTTCTCAAGTGTGGGGAATGCTAGTGATTCCACATGTATTCACAGGAATCTCAAATAACTTGTCCAAAACTGAACTGATCTTATCCACTCCCCAACTTCTCAGTAATTGTAACTCCAAACTTTTGGTGGTTTAGCTTAAAACTCTGAAGTCATCATTGAGATTATATATATATATATATGTATATATATATATATATTTTTTTTTCATAACACACATACAGTTTAGCAGCAAGATTTAGAATCCATTTTCTTCTCACCAGCTGCTCTGCCATAGTATCACTGGTCGAAACCGTCAGGATTTCTCCCCCTCCAAAGTTCTTACAATACTCACAGCTGCTCCACCTTACCCTTCTGCCTCAGCTCCCACCATTCATCCCCTGCTTGCTCCTGCAGTCCCTCAAACACACCAGTGTGCTTCCAGGTCAAGGCCTTTGCACTTGTAATTCCCTTTGCTTGCAGAGCTCTTTCCTCAGGTATCAGCAGGGTTAACTCCCTCCCTCATTTGGGTCATGGCACAATTGTCCTAGGGAAGACTCCTCTGAGCACCCTCTATGAAGCTGCAACTCTTTCCCCTTCAACGCTTAATTTTTCTCTATTGCACTCTCGTCATTTGATATAGTATGTTTTTCTTCATAGCTGCCTCCCCTAGTAGAAGGAAAACTACACAAGGACAAGGATTTCTGTTAGTTTTTTAGTGCTATTTCCTCAGTGCTTAGAACTGTATCAGGTCCAAAGTTGGTGCTCGGTAAGTATTTGTTGAGTAAATAGGAAGAGCAACAGAGGAGTCCCGGAATGCTGTCGCAGAGCAAGGTCCTGGCCTTACTTCTGTGGTCAGAGTCCTTCATTTCAACTTTTTAAAACAAAATCAAATTCCTTGGAGCCCAGGTTGACGGCTGCTGAGTACCTGACCAACCAATAGCGAATGGCGACCACTCTTGCTAGTTTTTTTGTGAAGATCAGCTGCAAAGCGCGGAGGCGGACCCTTCCTGCACCCTGGGTCTGCTCTTTTGATGTCTACTCTCAAGCGCCCCGCTCTGGCAGCCGCCGCCTGCAGTAGCCGGAACGTTTCTGAGCGGTCGCAGCGTGCGGCGGAAGGACTTTGGAAGCGTCCCCAGAGTGGCTGGGCGGGCCTTCCGGCACAGTCTTGTCCTGGCAGGACCGGTGAGTGCCGGGTTGGAGGTTTGTGCCGCGTGAGGCGGGGTAGGACTCCTGGATATCTAGGCGGCTAGGAGGGGCTTGGGACGCTGGAGACCGAGCTGAATTACCCCAGTCGGCCTTGTGAGGAAGGAGGGTGTGAACGATCGTGTGAAAGGGGAGGAGGGCAGATTTCTTCTGGAAAGCCACAGAGAAGCATTGTGGGCTGCAGTCTGGGGAATAGCTCTCCCTCCCTAAGTCAAAGTGCAACTTTTGGGAATTGTGGTTTAGGGTTCGAGTTGGTGACTTGCCGCCAGCTCTATGGCCTCGAGCGAGTTAACTGAGCCTAGAGTTCCACACCTGAAAAACAGGGACAGTAATCACCCTTGTCTGTCTTACAGTTATAGCAGTCTGAGCTCATGTAACAGGAATCATACCAGTGGGGAACGTGGCTTTTCTGGGGTTGTACTCCAGGAAACGATCAGCGATATTTTTATAAAGATGGACTATTGCGAAGTCATAGGCCATTGGAGATCTTTCCACCTCCTGTCCTGTCTCTGTGATTTCCCATTGCAGGCAGCTCTAATTAAGAAGTCTGTGTATACATCTGGGCCCAAAGTCTAGCTTCCAGTTTCTACTTATTGGTTCTCACATTGTTTCTGAACTTCAGAGAATAAATAATAATAATGAACTAAAAATGCAATTTAATTATTGATGTGATGGATGGCAACAGCCACATTTTTAAGAATTTGAGTTTACTGAGAACGTTATGCAAGGTTTTCCCTTTTTCTCTTAATTTTCTTAATTTTTTTTTAAGAGACAGTGTCTTGCTCAGACACCCAGCCTTGAGTGCAGTGCCCAGATCATAGCTCACGGTAACCTCAACTCCTGGGCTCAGTGGATCCTCCTGGTTCTGCCTGCCACGTAGCTGGGATTACAAGCCTGTGCCACCATGCCTGGGTTAATTTGAAAAAAATTTTTATAGAGAACTTTTATAGAGTTCTGTGTTGCCTATGTTGTTGTTGAATTCCTGTGCTCAAGAGATTCTCCTGCCTCAACCTCTCAAAATGCTGGGATTACAGGCATGAGTCACCATGCCAACCGGTTTTATTTGTGAAATTCACAATAGATACAGAAAATACAGGAAATATCAAAATGTTTAATTTACTGCCTGTATACTAGGCTGCTACACTCATCATCAAACGTACAAGGTACCAACATATTTAGGGTGTTGACATAGCAAAGATGTTAAAATTATTGTCGCTTGTAGTTACTTCAGAATATTAAAGTGGATCATCAGATTGACTGAAACAAATGAATCTCTTACAAAACCAGGGATGGATTTATTAATTCAGTGGTGACTATGCAGAATTTTACCTAATGACATCTGATCATAGCAAGTGCCACAGAAAGCAAGGATGCCTTAGAAGCAGTCTCTAACTTGTCAGCAGGTTTTAGCTCCAAAAGTCCATTTGTAGGTAATTTTTTTTTTTTTTGGAGACAGAGTCTCGCTTTGTTGACCAGGCTAGAGTGAGTGCCGTGGCGTCAGCCTAGCTCACAGCAACCTCAAACTCCTGGGCTCAAGCAATCCTTCTGCCTCAGCCTCCCGAGTAGCTGGGACTACAGGCATGCGCCACCATGCCCGGCTAATTTTATATATATATTTTTAGTTGGCTAATTCATTTATTTCTATTTATAGTAGAGACGGGGGTCTCACTCTTGTTCAGGCTGGTTTCGAACTCCTGACCTTGAGCAATCCGCCGGCCTCAGCCTCCCAGAGTGCTAGGATTACAGGCGTGAGCCACCGCGCCCGGCTTTGTAGGTAATTTCTTTAGATTTTTAACTATATTTTTCTATAGAAGCAATGATATAAATGGAGGGCAAAGTCTCAGTTATGGTCCTCATCACAAAAATTCATCTTTGCCCCTGCCAAAGACAGGGGATATGCTTTTGTTCTTGATGTCTTAGCACTTAAAATTCCTTTGATCTCAAATTTATGGAACAAGAAAACTAAGAGGTGGGTTGGGAAGGGACATTACATTGGGGAGGGTGGAAGTACCGGATGTTTATTACTTGGTTATGATTAATGGGTTCCCCCCACCCTCACTAATATTCCTAATTATTAAATAAGTACATTAAGAAATGAAGAATTGTGGCTGGGTGTGGTGACTCCTGCCTGTAATCCCAGCACTTTGGGAGTTTGAAGCAGGAGGATTGCTTGAGGCCAGAAGTTCAAGACCAGCCTGGGCAACAATAGTGAGACCTGGTCTCTACAAAGAATAAAAAAATTATCTGGGCATGGTGGATCACTTGAGCCCAGGAATTTGAGGCTGCAGTGAGCTGCGATCGCTCCACTGTACTCCAGCCTGGGCAACACAGTGAGACCCTATCTCTAAAATTAAAAGAAAAGAAAAAAAGAATAAAGAAGCAAAAAACTCAATCATCCTTAATTCTGTCATCCAAACAAAACCCTTTGTCCCATTTATTGAATGACTGAATAAATATTTCCTTTGTCTTTTTCTTATAATAATTGACGTCATTATGTGTGTTTGATTTTGTATCTTTTTTGGAATTACGAGCCATAAAAATTTACCCACTTATAAATAATAAATGTCATTTAGAAACTTTTGATTGTGAGAAAATTCAGATGTATCAAAAGTGGAGAGATAGGGCAAAGAATCACAATGTATCTATCACCCAGTTATAATCATCAATTGTGGCTAATCTTGTTTTAGTTATACCCATACCCACTTCCCATAATTGTATGGTCTATCCTGTGATACATCTCTGAAGCATTTTTGCTTTTTTAGAAATTTGTAGAAAGATGCTTATTTCTATTGGTGCCAAGTTTGTGCATAAATATTTACACTCTTTCTTGGAAATGGGAAAAAGAGTTCCATGAGGATTTTGTATTTTTTTCCAACAATTACTGAATAAACTACAAAGAATAAAATGACCTGGCATTCTGATTTTTTACCTTTATATGTTTACTTTCTCTAATTTTCAAATTTAATTGGATACATTTTGTTACAAACATCTTTAGAAAATTTGTGATTGAATTTTTTTTCAGATTATTGAATAATAAAATACATTTAAAAAAAAATGGATGAAGAACCTGAAAGAACTAAACGATGGGAAGGAGGCTATGAAAGAACATGGTAAGTTGGGCATTATTACCTTCTCTTTTCTTTTAGAAATTGTCTTTTTTTTTCCAACTTTCTGGAAGTATATTTTGCATATGTTAAAATTCACCCATTTCCAGTGTACAATTCAGTGATTTTTTTAGAAAATTTACTGAGTTGTACAGCCATCACCATAAAGCAGTTTTGGGACATTTTAACCATTCCAATAAGATCCTTCATGCCCTTTTGCAATTAATTTCAGTCTCACCCCCACCCCTAGGCAACCACTAATCTTTCTGTCTCTATATAGACTTGCCCTTTCTAGACATTTCACATAAATGTAATCATATACAGTCATGTACTGTTTCTGTTAATGATGGATCATATATATGAGGATGGTCCCATAAGATTATAATACTGTATTTTTACCGCACCTTTTCTATGTTTACATACACAGGTACTGACGATTTTATTACAGTTGCCTACAGTATTCAGTACAGTAACATGCCGTACAGATTTTTAGCTAGGAGCAATATAGCCTAGATGTGTAGTAGGCTATACCATCTATGTTTGTGTAATTATGCTGTGATGTCCATACAATGACGGAATTGCCTAATGACACATTTCTCAGATCATACCCCTGTTGTTAAGTGACACATGACTCTAACCTGTGGTTTGTTGTGTCTGGCTTTCACTTAACATACTGTTTTGAAGGCACACCCATGCTGCAGAGTGTATTAATAATTTACTTTTTTATTGCTAAATATTTCATTATATGGTTATATGACATTTTTGTTTATCTGTTCACCAGTTGGACATTTAGATTGTTTATAATTTTTGACTATTATTAATAATGCCACATGCAAATTTTGGGGCATATATTTTCATTTCTCTTGGGTTAATAATCATTTTAGCTTACCTTTTTAAACAAATAATTATTGCTTATAGGGAGATCCTTAAAGAAGATGAGTCTGGATCACTTAAAGCTACAATAGAAGACATTCTGTTCAAGGCAAAGAGGAAAAGGTATGTAACCTCTTCCTAATGGTGTTATAAAAGGTAAAATACATTCCCTTAAACCTTTCTGTTTATCTGTAAACATTCCTCACTACTTCATTTCAGCTGTGTTTCTGGGAAACTGACCTGTAGCCTTCTGAATAGGGGGAAAGAACTAGCCACCTAGCCTTGCCTCAACAGGGAAATGGTCTTCAGGGACTATCCACAATGCCTATAATTATGTGTATTCCTTAAGTTAATAATTCACTTCACTAAAAAATGCAGGTTAGTTGGAAAATTGTATTGATTTTTGGGGGGCATTATATGGTATTCCATTAAAATGTTTGTATAATTTTAACAGAGTATTTGAGCACCATGGACAAGTTCGACTTGGAATGGTATGTAATTATTTTTTCCTTTACTGTTACAGAACTACTTTGGATTAGAGAAACATTCTGGCTTGATAGAATAAATAATAGTAAGACAACAAACTTTTAAAAATAATATATTAAAATATATGCATAGAATATGTGAATATTAAATATCATTTTTACTTCTCAGTCAAAAATGTACTTGAAAATTGTCTTTTTTTTTTTCCTTTGGTAGATGCGCCACCTTTATGTGGTAGTAGATGGATCAAGAACAATGGAAGACCAAGATTTAAAGCCCAATAGACTGACTTGTACTTTAAAGGTATCATTTAAATTTATACTAAAATCACTTAAATTTTTACTAAATGTGGGGAAGAATTCTAAACATTTAAGAAACAGTTTTTATTTTATTTTTATTTATTTTTGGAGACAGTCTCGCTTTGTTGCCCAGGCTAGAGTGTGTGCCATGGCGTCAGCATAGCTCACAGCAACCTCAAACTCCTGGCTCAAGCAATCCTACTGCCTCAGCATCCCGAGTAGCTGGGACTACAGGCATGCGCCACCATGCCGGCTAATTTTTTTATATATATTAGTTGGCAATTGATTATTTCTATTTATAGTAGAGGCGGGTCTCACCTTGCTAGGTCGCAATTGATTTATTTCTATTTATAGTAGAGACGGGGGTCTCACTCTTGCTCAGGCTGGTTTCGAACTCCTGATCTCAAGCAATCCGCCCGCCTCGGCCTCCCAGAGAGCTAGGATTACAGGCGTGAGCCACCGCGCCTGGCCTGTTTTATGTTTTTAGTTAATAAAAAGTAAAGGCTGTGTAGGCCGGCTGGTGGCTCACGCCTATAATCCTAGGACTCTGGAGGCGAGGCGGTGATATGCTCGAGGTCAGGAGTTCAGAACCATCCTGAGCAAGAAGGAGACCCCATCTCTACTATAAATAGAAAAATTAATTGGCCACTAAATATATATAAAATTAGTCGGGCATGGTGGCGCATGCCTGTAGTCCCAGCTACTTGGAGGCTGAGCAGAGGATCGCTTGAGCCCAGGAGTTTGAGGTTGCTGTGAGCTAGGCTGATTCCATGGCACTCACTCTAGCCTGGGCAACAAAGCGAGACTCTGTCTCAAAAAAAAAAAGGCTGTGTAGAAGTACTGCCAGGTCATTTAGGGAAATGATAAGCCAGTATAACATAGCTAATTATTTGTGTTTTTATTTCTACTACCTTACCCCAAGTCAGGATCTTGCTTTATCAGTTATCTCTTTTCCCTTTCCTTCTCTTTTCTTTTTCTTTCTTTTTTTTTTTGACAGAATCTCACTTTGTTGCCCGGGCTAGAGTGCTGTGGTGTCAGCTTAGCTCACAGCACCCTCCATCTCCTGGGCTCAAGTGATCCTACTGCCTCAACCTCCCGAGTAGCTGGTACTACAGGCATGCACCACCATGCCCGGCTAATTTTTTCTATATATATTTTTAGTTGGCTAATTCATTTATTTCTATTTATAGTAGAGACGGGGTCTCGCTCTTCCTCTGGCTGGTCTCGAACTCCTGACCTTGAGCGATCTACCCGCCTTGGTCTCCCAGAGTGTTAGGATTACAGGCATGAGCCACCACACCCGGACTTTTCCTTCTCTTTTCAGTGGTGTCTTGCTCTATTGCTCAGCCTGGAGCACATTGGTGTTATCATAGCTCATTGCAGCCTTAAACTCCTGGATTCAAATGATCCTCCTACTTCAGGCTTTTTAGTAGCTGGGACTAAGGTGTCCACCATAACTGGCTAATTTTTAAAAATATTTTTAGAGACAGGGTTTCACTATGTAGCCCTGGCTAGTTTCGAACTCCTGGTCTCAAGTGATCCTCCTGCTCAGCTTCGTAAATAGCAGGGGTTACAGACATAAGCCATCATACCTGGCCCTATTCTTTATTTGAATTTTCATTCTCCTTTGACTTACTTGACTCTTAACTCCTCAGCTTACAAACACATTCTTATTATTCCTAATTTATCAAAACCCATCCTCAGTTCTGCTCATGCTTACATCTCTGTCTTCATTGGATCTTTTCCTGTTTAGATTTTTTTCTGACATCTCCATATGGTTTCATTTTCTTTTAAAACCTAGCTCAAACAACCTATCTCATCACCAACCATTTCAAATTAAGGTTTTACTGTTTAATATTTTTACTGCTGAATATTTTTAAAAAATCTACAAGCTTAAAAATCGTAAGAAGTGATGCTTGATGAGTAGCTTTCATAAAATGTTAATCAGACATGTTCTATATGGTTGTTATTTTGCCCTTATCCAGTATTTCCTTTTTGTTATTTTAAACAGTTGTTGGAATACTTCGTAGAGGAATATTTTGATCAGAATCCTATAAGTCAGGTATGTAGATAAGTGATTGAATTCAGAATTATATTCCTATTTTGCTGCCAAATATAATTTATTTTTAAAATATAGGGCATATATATGTGAATTATTTTTTTTCAATCCCACGAATTTTATAACAGTGAAAAAAGGAGACACAAAATAGTATATATAGTGCAAATTTGTTTATACAAAATTTAAAACCAGGGCTTGTCACTTATTTTCCAATGATTCAGCAAATAAAATATACATGTATATCCATCTATTGAGATATAAAGAAAATGTGGTAAAATGTTAACAATTGAAAATCTAGGTGAACAATATGCAAAGGTTCATTGAATTATTTTGCTACTTTTCTGTAGGTTTAAGAGTTCTTAAAATAAAAAAAGTAAGAAAGGGTTCCAAAATCAGACAAAGCTAATTTATATTATTTAGGAATACCAACAGAGGTGGTAAAAAAATAAAGAAAACAATTATCAAAGAGCTGAAACCCATTCTACTAAGTGAAGTATCTCAAGAATGGAAAAACCAGCACCACATGTACTCACCAGCAAATTAGTATTAATGGATCAATACCTAAGTGGACATATAGGAGTAACATTTATCAGGTGTCAGGAGGGTGGGACGGGGGAGGAGGGGATGGGCATATACAAACACAATGAGTGAGATGTGCAACGTTTGGGGGATGGACACGCTTGAAACTCTTACTTGAGGGAGGGGAATGGGCAATATATGTAACCTTAACACTTGTACCCCCATAATACACTAAAATAAAAAAAAAGTAAAAAAAAAAAACAATTATCAAAATTCAGAAGAGTGACAACTCTGGGAAGAACTTTTGCTGAGAGAGAGCCTTGGGGGGATTTCTGGTGCCAGCAGTTCTGCATCTGGGTATAAATGAGCAAATTTTCCTTTATAATTATTTATTAAACTATACATATAAATTCTATGCAGTTTTTCTATATGCATATTTTACCAAAAAAAGGTTACAAATAATGTAACATGATATATAAAAATACTTTTAAAGAAAAATTGCTATATACTTGTTAGACATTATTATAAAAATAAAATGTTTTTGCTTTGTAACAAGCAAATGTAAGTTAGGGGCTTTTGCTATGTGAGTTGTTTACTTGAGAACACTCTATCAAAAGGTACATCCCGAGGACCAATTTTTGAGGCTGGCAATATGATAATGTCATCTTATTTTTACATGAGATAGTTTTTATATAAGCATCAATTCTGAATCTTTCTTAGTTTGATATTAGGTGATACATTCTTCTAAATAATTCCCATGAACTGTGATATTTATTTTGGCAGATATTCTATCATACCCAACTTAAAAATTTGTTACAAGAAAACTCTGGCTGAAAGTCTTATAATTATTCAAATATCACACACAATTTATATTGTTCTTGTATAAATTTTGCCTATTTTTTATAGCTTTTTCTGATTGTATCATTAGGATTTCACAGTACTTTGGAAATACCAAAAGTCAAAAGTTGGTCAGAATTCCACAGCTGACTTTGAATATAGTGATATTAATTCAGTTTACATCTTCTGTGTCCTCTAAATCAGTATCAAAATCTAAATCATCATCACTTTCTTCATTTCTTCTATATTCTCTTCTATGGTTGGAACTTTGATTATTTCCAATATTTTCTGTTTTATCTGGTTCTTCATTAAACGGAATAACAATGTCTTCTTTCTTTCCACATTTTGCACAAACTTCAAGTTCACAGGCACATGATCTGCACATTATGTGATAGGAATCTTTCACTGTCTTTTGTAAACTTTTAACACATTTTTTAGGTTTTGATAATGGTTTGTATTTGCTGTATTTTACACGGCATTCAAGAACTTCTTTACAGCGCTGACATACACCATCATGAAGTTTTGCATTAATTTTCTTGGTCTGAATACTCTTATCAAACTTGTCATTTTTGAAGCTAAACAGATTCTGGTGCTTCTGAGGCCTGGAATGAGCCATGTTGCCTTTCTGGGAACTCATAGCCAAAACCACAGCCAGCCTGTGCGGGGTACAGGAGAAACTACTGTATGTGAATTATTAAGTGACCCAGATTGTATCCCAATTTCTGGTACATTTATCAATGAAAAACATAATAACTATAAAAGTTAAACAATGTACAGTGAACTCATAGGTAAATTTATTTGCCAAAAGCACCATGAGAAAAAGTTTCTCACATGTTGCTTCTTTTGTACTTACTAATTTATTTTAGTTATATAAATTCTTATCAAGAGGAAATAATTTATTATATTAATAATCATTTTTGTTTTTATTTTGAGATTGGAATAATTGTAACTAAGAGCAAAAGAGCTGAAAAACTGACTGAACTCTCAGGTATGCATATAATTACCTTTACATGACTCAAAGATTTTGCTTTATTTACTCAACCTTGTAATCCTGTTTATATGGCTGCTTAATAAGTAAAGTGAAACCTTCTGTATGCTCTCTAGGTAAAACCACTTAATAATATCTCCCTCACCATTAAACTCTTCGAATCTAAGGTTAACTGGTCTAAATTGAGTTCTGCATAGTGGTGGATAGTATTACATTGAATGTAAATATGTTTATTTAAGTTCTGTACATGCTTATCCTGAAAATACTAAGGTACAATTAATGTAACCATTCAAAAGATCCAGTTAATCAGGTCGGGCGAGGTGGCTCATGCCTGTAATCCTAGTACTCTGGGAGGCCTAGGCGGGTAGATCGCTCAAGGTCAGGAGTTTGAAACCAGCCTAAGCAAGAGTGAGACCCCTTGTCTCTACTAAAAATAGAAATAAATTAATTGGCCAACTAAAAATATATAGAAAAAATTAGCCGGGCATGGTGGTGCATGCCTGCCCCAGCTACTCGGGAGGCTGAGTCAGAAGGATCGCTTGAGCCCAGGAGTTTGAGGTTGCTGTGAGCTAGGCTGATGCCATGGCACTCTAGCCCAGGCAACAAAGTGAGACTCTGTCTCAAAAAAAAAAAGATCCAGTTAATCTTACAGTTAAATTTTTAAAAAGTTAAGCATCTAATTTAAAGAACAAGATATGTGAAAATTGAATTGTAGTTATTATTAATGAATCAATTCTGCTTACATAACATGCCTAACTAAATTTTAATCTCAAAAGATAATAATGGCTATTTTTATTTGCTTTGGTATATGTGCTGTTACAAATTTATATCACTGATTTTTTTTTTTTTTTGAGACAGAGTCTCACTCTGTTGCCTGGGCTAGAGTGCCGTGGCATCAGCCTAGCTCACAGCAACCTCAAACTCCTGGGCTCAGGCAATCCTCCTGCCTCAGCCTCCTAAGTAGCTGGGACTAGAGGCATATGCCACCATGCCCGGCTAATTTTTTCTATATATTTTAAGTTGTCCAGCTAATTTCTTTCTATTTTTTTAGTAGGGATGGGGTCTTGCTCTTGCTAAGGCTGATCTCCAACTCCTGAGCTCAAACGATCCGCTCATGTCAGCCTCCCAGAGTGCTAGGATTACAAGTATGAGCCACCGCACCTGGCCTGATTCTGTTTTATTTTCTCAGTAATACACTATCCCTTAAATCTGGTTCTCAACCTTTTATTCTCACCAACACACATAAGGGAAATGACATACTTTTTTCATTAATAGTTTTTCATTACGGTAGTGAAGTGTGAAATATACGTTAGCCTGGAGTGATCCAAGAAATTCAATTTTGAGTAACCAAAAAAAGAATCTCAGATTAGCTTAAAAGCAAAAGGAAAATTATTGGCTTATGTTCAAAGGTGGCCTGATTTCATATATAATCGTTTTCAGGGGTCTTGACTTGGCCTTCATTTCTCTGGTAGATTTTCAGGGAGGTCAAAAGATGTCTGTTGATAGCTCCAAGTCTAAATGGCTGTTGTAGTTTATAGCATCAGCACAAATCTAGGGAGAACTGCTATTGGCCCCAATTATAATCTGCCCATCCATGAGCAAAGTGGCCAGGAGAATGAAGTATTTTGTTGGTAGTCTTGGATTACATGCCTGTACCCAGAGCAGAATAAAAGCACGGTCAGTACCACATGGACTAAGCAGGATTATTATATGGTGGGGGATGGATAGTTCCTCCAAGGAAGGGATGAAGGGTCAACCTCTTTCTAGCAGTTTTCTATAGATGCTAGTGAAGTCACATGTATAAAGATGAAAATCTGGAGATTCTGACAGTCCTCTTGAAGGCACCCTTTTTCCCTCTACTTAGACCACTGCCATAAACTACACTGACACTAATGTAGTATGCTTTTTTCCTATACTCACAACACCATCAGAGATTTAAAAAACATTTTGTATGGTATGGTAGAAAGAGGAGTGGATAGAGAATCAGGAGGTCTAAGTTTGATTGCTGCTGGTCCTGCAATTAGGTAATGATAAGTCTTTGAGCAAATCATTTTACTTATTTAAACTTGTTTTCTCTCTTATGAAATGAGGGATTTGGACTTAAGTAATTGTCATCTCTAATATTTTATGAATCTGTAATACTACAATAAATATTCAATATTGTGAATGGTTGGTATTTTAAAACTTATTCAGATAAATATGAACTCTAGGGAGCTGTAAGTAGATGAACAAAGAAGACAGTTCATACCAGAAAAAAACCTAGAAACTAAATAACTATTTTTTAAAAAGTTTAGTCAAACAAGTGATCCAAAAAAAAACCCAATTGAATAACATTTTATTATTTTATGTATTGTAAATGAGCAAAATGAAGTTTCAAAAGCAATGTATTGCTTGCTGAACCACTGAGAAACAATATGGTGCTACTGGTTTTGTGAATTAACAATTTTTTTGAAAAGCATAACAATGGTTATTCCTTGAAATTATATTATGGAAATGTTATGAAAGAAGAAAAATGGTCATTCTACAAAGATACACTTTGTAACATTAGGTGTAATAGTGACAGATTGAGAATTAACTCAAATGTTCAATAGTATAGAGATACTTTGATGAATTGTATGATAAAATCAATTTAATATTTTGATTATTTATATTTATTTTGATTATTATTAATAGGAAGAGAGTGCTTAAATAGATCATGTTGAGACAGTGCCATATTTCATTGAATCTCAGATTCTGTCAATTATGCGTTTATTTTATTTTATTTTATTTTCACTCTGGCCCCTCAGACTCCCTCCCCAGCGCTGTTTCCTGACCCCTGGCCGTCAGTACCCTGGTTTCTGGCCCCTGGTCACCTGCAGTTCTCTGACCCCCCTCCCCCAGGCCGGGCACTCCTAGTCTCCTGCTCTTGTCCGTCAGTTCCAGCCAGCTCCCAGACCCCTGCCCCCCTTGCCCAGTTGCCAGACCCTCAGGTTCTGAGACCTCCCGTGCCTCAGTCCTTCACAGCTCCTAGACCCGCCACTGCGTACCAGCTCCAGCAGTTCCCGGTCCCCTGGCTCTCCAGTCATTTCCCCTACCCAGGCCTTTTGTCTCCCGTCACTCTGGTTTCCCTGCTAGCAAAGTGTCTCTGAACTCTTAGTTTGCTGACTTCTGAACCCCTGTGTTCCCAGTAGTTCCCTGTCCCAAAAGAACTCTCAGTTTTACAACCTCTTTGTCTTCCCCATCCCTCTTAGTCTCCCACCCCTGTCCCCCAGTGTTTTGCTGTTCCAGTCACCTGGTTATTCCCAGTTAACCCTCTCAGCTTCCCTCTCTGGTCCTTGGTTTTACATTTCAGTTATTCTTTCTCGTACTCCAGCCCCTTCCACTTCTTATCCTAGCTCATCACTTAAGGTCTCTCCTGTCCTGTCCTGCAGCCCTTCCCTTCTTGTCTAATGCCTGGCCCTTCTCTATGCGTTTATTTTATTTTATTTTATTTTCACTCTGGCCCCTCAGACTCCCTCCCCAGCGCTGTTTCCTGACCCCTGGCCGTCAGTACCCTGGTTTCTGGCCCCTGGTCACCTGCAGTTCTCTGACCCCCCTCCCCCAGGCCGGGCACTCCTAGTCTCCTGCTCTTGTCCGTCAGTTCCAGCCAGCTCCCAGACCCCTGCCCCCCTTGCCCAGTTGCCAGACCCTCAGGTTCTGAGACCTCCCGTGCCTCAGTCCTTCACAGCTCCTAGACCCGCCACTGCGTACCAGCTCCAGCAGTTCCCGGTCCCCTGGCTCTCCAGTCATTTCCCCTACCCAGGCCTTTTGTCTCCCGTCACTCTGGTTTCCCTGCTAGCAAAGTGTCTCTGAACTCTTAGTTTGCTGACTTCTGAACCCCTGTGTTCCCAGTAGTTCCCTGTCCCAAAAGAACTCTCAGTTTTACAACCTCTTTGTCTTCCCCATCCCTCTTAGTCTCCCACCCCTGTCCCCCAGTGTTTTGCTGTTCCAGTCACCTGGTTATTCCCAGTTAACCCTCTCAGCTTCCCTCTCTGGTCCTTGGTTTTACATTTCAGTTATTCTTTCTCGTACTCCAGCCCCTTCCACTTCTTATCCTAGCTCATCACTTAAGGTCTCTCCTGTCCTGTCCTGCAGCCCTTCCCTTCTTGTCTAATGCCTGGCCCTTCTCTATGCGTTTATTTTATGAGCCATCAAGAAGGAAAAACCCTAACAGTTGAACTTTGACACAGTATCAAATGATATGTGAATTGGTTACACTAGCTTCTTTTTTTTTTTTTTTTTTTGAGGCAGAGTCTCGCTTTGTTGCCCAGGCTAGAGTGAGTGCCGTGGCATCAGCCTAGCTCACAGCAACCTCAAACTCCTAGGCTCAAGCAATCCTTCTGCCTCAGCCTCCCGAGTAGCTGGGACTACAGGCATGCACCACCATGCCCAATTTTTTCTATATAAGTTGGCCAATTAATTTCTTTCTATTTATAGTAGAGACGGGGTCTCACTCTTGCTCAGGCTGGTTTCCAACTCCTAACCTCGAGCAATCCTCCTGCCTTGGCCTCCCAGAGTGCTAGGATTACAGGCGTGAGCCACCATGCCCAGCCAAGCTTCTTGGAAATTTGACATATCTGTCACTTATTCCAAAGGATAATAAGCAGCAGTTTCTCCTCCCTTTGTATCGCTAGGCAATCTTTTCAGATGTTATATCAGTAACAGAAGATAATACAGCTTTGTCTATTTGTGGGAATTTTCCTTTTTTAGGTCTTGTAAAGTTCCTGCTTTCTTCCCCCAAGAAAAATAAGGAATTGTATGTAATCTTCCATTAATGAATATTTGCTGCACTAATAATAAATTTAAACCTTGTAGCTCTGTTCCATGCCTTTATACATAAAATATAGCCTTTTTTTTTTATTACTAATCTTTCTAAAAACATTTTATTGTATTTTCTTTCTTTTTTTTGAGACATGGTCTTGCTCTGTTGCTACAGCTAAAATGCAGTGCCGTCATCATAGTTTATTGCAACCTCTAACTGCTGGGCTCAAATGATTCTCCTGCCTCCTCCCAAGTAGCTGGGACTGTGGGCGTATGCCACCATGCCTGGCTAATTTTTCTATTTTTTATAGACAGGGTCTTGTTCTTGCTCAGGCTGGTCTCAAACTCTTGGGCTTAAGCAGTCCTCATTCCTCAGCTTCCCAGAGTGCTAGGATTACAAAGTATGACCACGCGTGTCAGGCCCTAAAAATTACATTTTAAATGGCAATTAAATTTATCACGAATAGTACAATGTACATAATGCAATTGAAGCAACAACATATGAAGAACTATTTGTAGATTTGCACATGAGCAGGCAGTGGCAACTGTGTCACAAATGCTGCCCAGCTACCAGTGATTGTAAAACACATGCTGATTTCAGAGATGTTAAAATGTGAAAATGTAATGGTCTTAAAAATGATGAAATAGGCCGGGCGCAGTAGCTCATGCCTGAAATCCTAGCACTCTAGGAGGGCGAGGCAGGAAGATTGCTTGAGCTCAGGAGTTGGAGACCAGCCTGAGCAAGAATGAGACCCCGTCTGTACTAAAAAAAAAAAAAAGAAAGAAAGAAATTAGCTAAACAACTAAAAATAGAAAAAATTGGCCAGGCATGGTGGCACGTGCCTGTAGTCCCAGGTGCCTGGGAGGCTGAGGCAGGAGGATCGCTTGAGCCCAGGCGTTTGAGGTTGGTATGAGCTAGGCTGACACCATGGCACTCTAGCCTAGGCAAGAGGAGTCTGAGACTCTGTCTCAAAGAAAAGAAATAAATATTAAAAGTAAGAAGTATTGGACTCTAGGTTAATATTATTTTAAAATATGTGTGCTAGTGGATGAAAAGAGATTATTTGTATTGTTTTTCAGTATGAAATGAGACTACTAAATATTTCTGATAAAAGTGCAACTTGCTAGAAATATAAATTGAAGGGATTCTGTTATTTAACATCATAGGTATGTAAATTTGAGGGAAACATACATTTTTACAATGTATATTGTAGGATTTTATTGAAAGTATATTATTTTATGTCTATTTTAGGAAACCCAAGGAAACACATAGCATCCCTGAAGAAAGCTGTAGATATGACCTGCCATGGAGAACCATCTCTTTATAATTCCTTAAGCATAGCTATGCAAACTCTAAAGTGAGTATTTTACATTTATTATTTATAATTGATTTAGAAGTTCTTTGTATGAGTTAAGTTAAAATGATAGTGTGTTAATATGGGTCTTCACAAACCCAGCTATAACAAAATCATTAACTAGGAAAAATATGTATTGTCATTTATGATATTTAGTATGATGTTTGTCAGTAATTTTTCACATTTTAGTAGGTGAGGTATATCTGTAATGGTTCTAGAAAAATATTATTAAAACTGTAGGCAGTATCAATACTACAAAGAAATATGTTGATGGAAAAATATCTTATTGAAATGGATTATGTATGGAATTTAGTGTGGTATAATACTTGTGAGTTGGTTGTACCTTTATTTACATTTATTAATTGATTTTGTAATATGTCTGTAAGTTAATAGCATACTTTTCTGACAAGTTCAGGTATGTGGAGTATAGCTAAGACCCCAAAGGAAATATTCAAAATAGTTTAAGCTGATATATTTTATCTCTGGATAGTCTGCCCTGGCTCAGACTTTATACCTTTATATAATAGGTGTTTTTATAGTTTTGAAGTAGAGGAGAAAGAGGTAACACCTGTAATGAAGGTAAGCACAATAGCAGGGTCTTCAAGTGGGAGCTGAGAGTGTAACAATGAATATGTAAGCAGGAAAGCTGTAACTGATAAAATTGCTCCAGAATGCATAGAAATCTCTAGCGTAGGTGAAAACAGCTCAGCATATCTTAAAACCCCACAAGCCATCATTTAATTATATGGCTTACAGGACTAATATTTATGATTATTATGACTCTAAATAAATATGAGGATAAATTATAGCATTCCCCCCCTTATCTGCAGTTTTGCTCTCCACAGTTTCAGTTGTGCATGGCACTAAAATGTTACATGGAAAACTCCCAAAATAAACAATTAACAAATTTTAAATTGCATGCCATTCTGAATAGCATGATGAAATCTTACACCTTCCTCCTCTGTCCTGCCTGGAATATGAATCATCCCTTTGTCTTATATATCCATAGTGTATCTGCTACCCGCTTATTAGTCACTTAGCCTCCTTGGTTATCAGATGGACTGTCCTGGTACTGCAGTGCTTGTGTTCAAGTAACCCTTATTTAACTTAATAGTGGCCCCAAAGCACAAGAGTAGTGACGATGGCATATTATTATAATTGTTCTATTATTATTGTTATTAATCTCTTACTGTGCCTAATTTATAAATTAAACTTTATTATAGGTATGTATGTACAGGTATACCTCATTTTACTGAGCTTTGCTTTTTTTATTGCCGGGGTTTTTTTTTTTTTGAGACAGAGTCTCACTCTGTTGCCCAGGCAGGAGTGCAGTGGCCTCATCACAGTTCACTGTAACCTGGGCTCAAGGGATCCTCCTGCCTCAGCCTCCCAAGGAGCTGGGACTACAGGGGCATGCCCCCACTGCTAGCTAATATTTCTAATTTTTGTAGAGATGGGGTCTTACTCTTGCTTAGCTGGTCTCGAACTTCTGGGCTCAAGTGATCTTCCTGCCTTGGCCTCCCAGAGTGATAGGAGCCACCAAGTACAGCCTGTGCTTTGCTTTATTGAGCTCTATAGATACTGCATTTTTTTTTTTTTTTTGAGACAGGGTCTCGCTTTGTTGCCCAGGCTAGAGTGAGTGCCGTGGCGTCAGCCTAGCTCACAGCAACCTCAAACTAACTCCTGGGCTCAAGCAATCCTCCTGCCTCAGCCTCCCGAGTAGCTGGGACTACAGGCATGCGCCACCATGCCAGGCTAATTTTTTCTATATATATTAGTTGGCCAATTAATTTGTTTCCATTTATAGTAGAGACGGGGTCTCGCTCTTGCTCAGGCTGGTTTCGAACTCCTGACCTCGAGCAATCCGGCCCGCCTCGGCCTCCCAGAGTGCTAGGATTACAGGTGTGAGCCACCGCGCCCGGCCTGATACTGCATTTTTTTAAAAATTGAAAGTTTGTGGCAACTCTGCAGCAAGCAAGTCTCTTAGCACCATTTTTCCAACAGCATGTGCTCACTTTGTATCTCCGTGTCACATTTTGGTAATTCTCACGTTATTTCAAAATTTTTCATTATCATATGTATTATGGTGATTTATGATTAGTGACATTTGGTGTTACTATTATAATTTGAGGGGTACCACAAACCACACCCATGAAAGATGGTAAACTTAATAAATATTGCATGTGTTCTGACTATCCCACCAGCCCCAATGTACATTCCCCCATCTCCCTCACTCTCCTCCGGCCTCCCTATTCCCTAAGACATAATATTGAAATTAGGCCAATTATAATAATAACCCTCCAGTGACCTCTAAGTTTTCAAGTGAAAAGAAGAGTCTCAACCTCTGTCACTTTAAATTAAAGACTAGAAATGATTAAGCTTAGTGAGGAAGGCATGCCAAAAATCAAGATAGGCTGAAAGCTAGGCTTCTTGTGCCAGTTAGCCGATTTGTGAATGCAAAGGAAAAGTTTTTGAGGGAAATTAAATGGTGAAAGTGATAAAAATTATTTTAAATATTCCTAAGGTGTCATAGGTTGATTTTAAAAATTGAACATCCCAAAGTGCAAGCTGACTATACTCTGTCTTTCTAGTTGATGAGCTGTATCTGAGCCCCCAGCCAGATCAGCCATGATCTGATGGTATTTTATGTGATAACCAGTAATAGGCATTACATCTAGGCTTCTTTCTTATTTAACTTTCAGCTAATGAATAAACTATGAGAATTCTGAGGGGAAAAAAAGTGTTATTTCAGTGAACACACAAATGATAAGAAAGTGAAACAGCCATATTGCTGATAGGGAGAAAGTTTCAGTGGTCTGAACAGAAGATCAAACCAGCCACAACATTTCCTTAAGCCAAAGCCTAATCCAGAGCAAGGCCCTAATACTCTTCAATTCTCTGAAGGCTGAGAGAGGTAAGGAGTCTGCAGAAGAAAAGCTTGAAGCTAGCAGACGTTGGTTCATGAGGTTTCAGAAGCTGTCTCTATAACATAAAAGTGCAAAATGAAGCAGCAAGGGCTGAGGTAGAAGCTGCAACAAGTTATCCAGAAGATCTAGCTAAGATCATGGATGAAAGTGGCTACACTAAACAACAGATTTTCACTGTAGATAAAACAGCCTTTTACTGGAAAAAGATGCCATCTAGCACTTTAATAGCTAGAGAGAAGTCACTGCCTGGCTTCAACGCTTCAAAGGACAGGTTGACTCTTATATTAGGGGTTAATGTAGCTGATGACTTAAAGTTGAAGTCTGAAAATCCTAGGGCCCTTAAGAATTATGCTAAATCTACTCTGCCTGTGCTCTATAAATGGACTAAGAAAGCCTAGATGACAGCACATCTGTTTACAGAATGGTTTACTAAGTACTGAGATTTATTAATATCTACTACTCAAAAAAAGGTTCTTTTCAAAATATTTTTCATCAACAATGCATCTAGGCCAGGAGTGATGGCTCACACTTGTAATCCTAGCACTCTGGGAGGCCCAGGCGGGAGGATTGTTTGAGCTCAGGAGTTCGAGACCAGCTTGAGCAAGAGTGAGACCTTGTCTCTACAAAAAATAGAAAGAAACGGGCTGGACAACTAAAAATATATAGAAAAAATTAGCTGGGCATGGTGGTGCATGCCTGTACAGTCCCAGCTACTTGGGAGACTGAAGCAGAAGGATTGCTTGAGCCCAGGAGTTTGAGGTTGCTGTAAGCTAGGCTGACGCCACGGCACTCTAGACTGAGCAACAGAGTGAGATTCTGTCTTGAATAAAAAAAATACCCAATGGACATAGAGCATAGTCACATAGAGCTTTGATGGAGATGTATAACAAAATTAATGTTATTTTCATGCCTATTAATACAATAATCCCTTCTGCAACCCATGGATCAAGGAGTAATTTGACCTTCAATTGTTATTAATTAAGAATTACATTTTATAAGGCTTCGCTGCCATAGGTAATGATTCTTCTGATGGATCTGGGCAAAGTCACTTGAAAATCTTCTGGAAAGGATTCACTGTCTAGATGCTGTTAACCTTTGTGATTCATGGGAGGAGGTTAAAATATTAATATTAACAGGAGTTTGGAAGAAGTTTATTTCATGGATGATTTTGAGGGGCTTAAGACTTAGTGGAAGAAGGAACGATAGCTGTGGTAGAAATAGCAAGAGAACTAGAATTAGAAGTAGAGCCTGCAGATGTGATTGAATTGCTGCAATCTCATGCTTAAACATTATGGATGAGCAAAGAAAGCGGCTTTTTTAATTTTTTGAGACAGCTTCACTCTCTTGCCTGGGCTAGAGTGCCGTGGCATCAGCTTAGCTCACAGCAACCTCAGACTTCTGGGCTCAAGCATCCTCCTGCCTCAGCCTCCCGAGTAGCTGGGACTACAGGCATGCGCCACCGTGCCCAACTAATTTTTTCTACTTTTAGTTGTTTGGCTAATTTCTTTCTATTTATGGTAGAGATGGAGTCTCGCTCTTGCTCAGGCTGGAACTCTTGCTTGAACTCCTGAGCTCAAGCAATCCTGCCGCCTTGGCTTCCCAGAGTGCTAGGATTAGAGGCGTGAGCCACTGCGCCTGGCCAGAAAGCAATTTCTTGAGATGGAGTCTGCTTCTGGTGAAGATGCTGTGAACATTGTTGAAGTGGCAACAAAGGATTCAGACTATGCCATAAACTTAGTTGATAAACCAGTGGCAGGATTTAAGACAATTGACTCTCACTCTCATTTTGGAAGAAGTTCTCCTGTGGGTAAAATGCTATCAAATGGCATCACATGCTACAGAGAAATCTTTCATGAAAGGAAGAGTCGATTGATGCTCCAAACTTTTGGTTGTCTTATTTTAAGAAATTGCCACAACCACCACAATTTTTAGCAGCTATCACCCCGATAAGTCAGCAGCTGTCAACTTCAAGGCAAGACAGCAAAAAAGATTATGACTCAGATGATTGTTAACATTTTTAGCCATAAAAGTATTTTTTAAATTAAGATATGTATTACATATTGTTTTTTCAGATGTAATGTTACTGCACACTTAATAGGCTACACTATAGTATAAATATAACTTTTATATGCAGTGGGAAATGAAAAAATTATATGACTTGCTTTCTTGTGATATTTATTGTGGTGGTCTGGAACCAAACCCGAGGTATCTGCAAGATATACCCGTATAAGAAAACAATATAATACAATTAGCTCTCTGTATCCACGGGTTCTACATCTGTGGATTCAACCAACTATAGATTGTAAATATTTGAAAACAACAGCGGTGTTGCACTGAACAGGTACAGATTTTTTTTCTTGTCATTACAGGATAGCAATGCAGGGTAACAACTATTTAAATAGTAGCATACATTGTATCAGGTAATGTAAGTAATCTAGAGATGACTTAAAGTATATGGGAGGATGCACATAGATTATATGGAAATACTACTCATTTTATATAAGGGACTTGGGCATCTTTGGATTTTGTTATCCTCAGGAGGTCCTGGAACCAACCCCCACCACGCCCCCCAACCAAGGATACCAAGAGATAAGTGGATATATAGGGTTCAGTACCATAGTTTCAGGCATCCATTGAGGGTCTTGTAGTGTATCCCCTGCAGATAAGGAGGGACTACTATATAGTCTTTAAGGAAGAAGTGAGTTACTATTGTTAATCCACACCTATACACTTTAAAGTTGATCCATATGATACTGTCCTATTTCTCAGCGCACACTTTAGACTTTGTATAAAACAAACCTACTAGACTGTAAGCTTTGTGACATCAGGAATCTTATTGGTCTTGTTTGTCACTCAGCCCCCAGAACATAAGAGAGAACTCGATAAATAATCATTAAATGAATCAATAATGTTTTGTTTGTGTAGCTCATTTTTGAAAATTTACATAAAAATGTTTCGAATATACTCACAGGTTTTCCTTGCAGTGTTTAAACAAATGAGGTATTTTGTAGTCTAAATGTGTAAACCTATATGTACTATTCTTGGTAAATTTTTCACTAGTATAATTTCTTATACCTGATTGGAGTATATTTTATCTTTTTTTAGACACATGCCTGGACATACAAGTAGAGAAGTCCTAATCATCTTCAGCAGCCTTACAACTTGCGATCCATCTAATATTTATGATCTAATCAAGGTAGACTCAATAAATCAAGACCAAAGTTTCAACTCTGTTGTTTATTTTATTTTGCAATAGTTCTGTCACTTGGCAAAGTTACAACTCTAAAATGAATTCTGTAGTGAATTCATGACTAGTTTTCAGGGCATTCTTTATTTTTCAAATATATCAATTCTTAAATATTTTTCTTCTTTCCCTAAAACCGATTGTTTACTTGGACTTTACAAAGACCCTAAAAGCAGCTAAAATTAGAGTGTCTGTTATTGGATTGTCTGCGGAGGTTCGAGTTTGCACTGTACTTGCTCGAGAAACTGGTGGTATGTATCTAATATCTTCAATATTTATTCAAAATAACTATAAGAAATAATTTATTAATTAGGATATTTTAATCTGTTTTAAGCTACTAAACTTAAATCAGTTCATATCTGGTAGTCCAAAATATGACCAATCATCTTAAATATATCATTGATTCTATAAAAAATTATTTCAAAATACAAGGAATTTTCAGTAGTTATGTCAGTGTTTTGGTTTTTTTTTTCTCACTCATGATGCTCCAATGTTTAGAGGAAGTTTTATAACTCCTGGAAAGCTAGAAATTTCACCATATGTAATACTTTGTGAAGGTTTCATAACTTGTCTTTAATGAAATTGTAATAACAGTTATGTCTAAAGAAGTTGATTTAGAGATATTTAAATAAGGTTTAAGAAAAGGAGATGTTGAGGTTGCTGTGAGCTAGGCTGACGCATGGCACTCACTTTATCCTGGGCAACAAAGTGAGACTCTGTCTCAAATAAATAAATAAATAAATAAATAGCTATGCCTTTTTTCAATATGAATGTAATAAATATTCATTATAAAATTTTTGGAAAATAGAGGAAAACAAATTTAAAAAAATGATCTAGGCTTTGGATCTTAAAGTCAACTTATTCAAAAAAAAAAAAAGATCCAGGTTGGGCATGGTGGCTTCATGCCTGTAATACTAGCACTTTGGGAGGCTGAGACAGGAGGATCACTTGAGGCCAGGAGTAGGACACCCGTCTGAGTAACATAGCAAGACCCATCTCCACAAAAAATTTTTAAAAATTAAAAAATTAATAAAAAGTAAATTAAAAAATTTAAAAATGATCCAAAACCAACTATTCTCCTTCACCTAAAAAAAAAAAATCACTTTGAGCAATTTGGTATATTTCCCTGTGGTCTTTGCAGTTTGTGTTACATAGCTGCTTTGAACATACAGAACGGAGGACTTTTTAGTTTATTTTTTTTTTTAATTTTTCTTTTTCTTCCTCTGTCACCCCAACTAGAATGCTGTGGCATCATAATAGCTCACAGCAACTTCCAACTCCTCAGCTCAAATGATCCTCCTGCCTCAGCCTCCTGAGTAGCTGGGACTAAATTTGTACACTCCCATGCCTGGCTAATTTTTCTATTTTTGTCTCACGCTTGCTCAGGCTGGTTTCAAAGTCCTGGGCTCAAGCAGTCCTCCTGCTTCAGCCTCCCAGAGTGTGAGGATTACAGGCATGAGCCACTGAGTCCAGCCTTAAAACATTTCTTAACAAAAGTATTTCTCTATAAACACAGTGTCTTTATACCTTGCTAGCCTTAAAAACAAATAAAGCCAATAGTGCTCTCTAATGGAGTATAGGAAGTTTTAATTTTCTTTTTATTTCTCTATATTTTTCAAAATTGCTTCAATAAGCATATTTTTCCTAATTATAAAACACTTAAGTTAAGGGCCGGGTGTGGTGGCTCACTCCTGTAATCCTAGCACTCTGGGAGGCCGAAGCGGGCAGATTGCTTGAGGTCAGGAGGTCGAAACCAGCCTGAGCGAGACCCCGTCTCTACTAAAAATAGAAAGAAATTAATTGACCAACTAAAAATATATATACAAAAAAACTAGCTGGGCATGGTGGCGCATGCCTGTAGTTCCAGCTGTAGTTCCAGAAGGCTGAGGCAGTAGGATCACTTGAGCCCAGGAGATTGAGGTTGCTGTGAGCTAGGCTGATGCCATGGCACTCACTCTAGCCTGGGCAATAAAGTGAGACTCTGCCTCAAAAAAAAAAGCAAAAAAAAAAAACTTAAGTTAAAAAAAATTCTTAAATGTTAAAATGATAGCTTGTGCAACTGAAAACAAAGTGTAAGTTGAGCCAAAATATGTATTTTCAAAAGCCATAAAATAAACACTTACCCATACGAATAAGTGAGCATTCAGAACTTGAGCTGGCAGGTGGAGGACTAACGTGATGTGTTAGCAATTCTTTGTAATGGCTTTCATCTAAAATAACATGGTATGTGCCTAGCAAGATGAAAAAGTTAAAAAAAAAAATCAGACTTGCAGACAAAAGTATGAAGTATAACTTCAATGTAATTCTAAAAAAGTTTTCTCATCTGAAAATGTACATTTTCAAAATAATAATTTTAGCTGAATTATTTTTAAAAAAAACCTTATTTAAATATCTCTAAATCAACTTCTTTAGACATAACTGTTATTACAATTTCATTA